ACTGCTGCTCCCATGAGCAGTGATTGTGAATGCAAATAAAATGAAAGCATTGGTAAATTCAGTCTTTTACTTAGCTATCATAATATTGTTTACATGCTTAGAACATAGTGGACTTAAGTAATGTTTTTTAAATTAATTAAGGCAAGAGGGAAATAGATGGATAAGATGCTACTTGTACTTTCAGATATTTATTTAAAATACTACTTTTACTTTTTTTTCCCTTTAAAATAATTAGGTGTTTTTGGAGCAGGAAAGAGTTACTTGCTGGCAGTGGTGATTTTGTTCTTTGTACAACTGTTTGAAAAGAGTGAAGCTCCTACAGTTGGATATGCGAGACCATGGAAACTTCTGATTTCATCTTCCACTAATGTAGCTGTTGACAGAGTACTTCTTGGGTAGGTTTAACAAATGTATTTAAGGAGTTAATATTTATTAGGGTTATTGTTGTGAGAAGCAATCCACCATGGGTCCTGAGTGTCCATTCACATTCTTGGCTGAGTATACCAAAAATGAAAGACCTTTGTCTCTGAAACAGGAGATGGTGAATTTGAACCAACGACCTTGCAGTTCAAACCAACTTTGCGGTGCAGTGCAATATCCCATAGCGCCACACCAGGACATATGTGTATATTTGTCAATAAGTTGCCACTGAGTTGGTGCCAACTCATAGTGACACTGTATAGGTTTCTGGAGCCTTCATGGGAGCAGGAAGTCTCATCTTTCTCCCAGGAATGGCTGCTGGGCTCAAACTACTGACCTTGTGATTAGCAGTCCAGTTCTTATCCTACAGATTCACTGTGTTTATCCATATATATACATTGGTCCTAGCTCACTTATATTTTATTCTTTCCCCTACAGTTCCTTCTTGGGCTATCTTCGTATTCTAAATAAACTCAGTAAGGAATCTAATCTCATCTATATCCAGGATTCTGTTCAATCTAATTATACCCCATGACAATACCCATATCAAATCTTGACACCAGATTTTTCTCTCTAGTCCAAGCCAAGTATATCTAATTGTCCTGATGTGTCCACCAGAATGTATGCAGTACTTTGAATTAAAATCTCTATATGCTCATTTCTCCTCAGACCTCCATCCTAAAATCTGGTCCTACTTTTAGCACTATTTTGATGAATTATATGAATTCTACCCTGTAGTCTGGAGTCCTGTGTGGCAGTGGAGGATAAATGGTGGATCACAAGGTCAGTTTGAACCACATGATAGGTGGTTCAAACTCACCAGCTACTCCTTAGAAACCCTATACAGGGTCACTATGAGTAGGAATCAACTCAGCAGGGCACCTAAGAGTCAGTGTAGATTTTTTCTCTCCCTACACTAGATAATTTTCTCCTAATTCGCTTCCTACCTTTCTTACTGTTCTATCTGCCACCATCAGATCATTCACTGAGATGTGTCCCTTCTAACTTCTACCTGTCTTTATTGATATTCTCCAGTTGACTTGTACCATCTCAGTCCAGACTTCTATCATACTTCCCTGTGGCCTAACACATAAGGAGTAAGATTGTGGGCTCTAGTCTGGAACCCAAGGAGCCCTGGTAGCATAATGGATTATGAGTTAGGTTGCTAACCTCAAGGTCAGCAGTTTGGATCTACCAGTTGCTCTGTGGGAGAAAGATGACACTCTCTGCTCCTGTAAACTTTTACAGCCTTGGAAACCCTATACAGAGTTAACTGAATTGGAACAAACTCCATGGCACACAACTTTTACCACCACCAGTCTAGACTACTGGATTTATATCCTTCCTGTATCATATATTATCTATATGATCTTGAGTCAGGGTGATCCAGTAGTACAATTTTTAACCTTCTATGTGGGAGACATGGGTTTGATTCCCAGTCAATGCACTTCAAGCATAGCTACCATCCATCTACCAGTAGAGGCGTGTGTGTTCCTATGACACTAAACAAATTTCATTGGTGTTCCCAAACTAAAATGGGCTGGGAATAACAGCCTAGCTATTTATGTCTGAAAATCAGTCAATGAAAACCTTAGTTTAACAAATAGTCTGATCCTGTTATTAATGGATTGCATGAGTAAGAGGCTGACTGGACAAAGCTAACATCCTCACATCTAAGAAACAGTTACTCATCTCTTAGTTTTAATTTTCTACTCTTTAAAATGGTATGATAATAATAGCATCTCCCATAGAGTGCTGTATGATTAAATTAGTTAATACATTTATAGGGTTTAGAACAGTGCCTGGCACATGAAAAGTACTTAGTAAATGTTAGTATGTATGATTCTGATACACACTTGATAATCCAATTGATTTACTCTAGCGTTTCCTTTCTCCACATTATCATCCAAGTAGTTTTTCTAAAATGGAGATAAATTGATTAAGTCAATTCCACTATTTAAAATCTTTCACTGACTTCCCCTGACTTTAAGATTAAAAAAAAAATTTGACATTTTAGCCATAGCAAGCAGAACTTTTGTGATATATCCCAACTATTTCATCAACCTCATCGCATTCCTAGTGCCTGTATGACCTACATACAGCTGAATACTTTTTCATGCCTCTGTCTAGAAGGACCTTTCTTTTAAGCACTTTAGATATTCTGTAAAACTTTGTTCTGCCATTTCTTATTTTCAGGAAACATTTCCATTTCTACATGAGCAGAGATATCCTCCTTCTATCCTCCCATAACAATGTCATTTACCATATTATTCTGTCATAGTTACTTGTCTGTATCGTTAAGTAGATTATGATCTCATTTAAAGGTGGACGTCTATTGGTTATTTACTTACTTAACCTTTGTGCTTAGTACATGTTGTTAGGTGCTCTTGAGTCAGCTCTAACTCACAGTGACCCTGTGTACAACAGAATGAAACACTGCCCAGTCCTGCACCATCCTCACAATTATTATGTTGAGCCCATTGTTGTAGCCACTGCATCAATCCATCATGATGTGGGTCTTCCTCTTTTTCCATGATCCTCTATTTTGCCAAGCATTGATGTTTGTTTCCAGGGACTGGTCCCTCTTGATAACGTGTTCAAATTATGTGAGACAAACTCTTCCATCATCACATCTAAGAGGCATTATGACTACACTTCTTCCAAGATAGATTTGTTTGTTCTTCTGATTGTGCATGGTACCTTCAATATTCTTTTCCAGCACCATAATGCAAATGCTTCTTTTAGTCAGCCTTTTCTTCTTATTCATTGTCCAACATTCACATGCATCTATTGTTGTTTGTTGTTAAGTGCCATTGAGTTGGTTCCAACTCATAGTGACCCTGTATAGGGTTTTTGCAGTTTTACATCATACGAGGTGATTGAAAATACCGTGGTTTAGGTCAGGTGCACCTTAGTCACCATAGTGACAGCTTTACTCGTTGACACTTTAAAGAGGTCCTTTGCAGCAGATTTGTTCAGTGTAATATGTTATTCACTTTCTTGACTGCTGCTCCCATGAGCAGTGATTGTGAATGCAAATAAAATGAAAGCATTGGTAAATTCAGTCTTTTACTTAGCTATCATAATATTGTTTACATGCTTAGAACATAGTGGACTTAAGTAATGTTTTTTAAATTAATTAAGGCAAGAGGGAAATAGATGGATAAGATGCTACTTGTACTTTCAGATATTTATTTAAAATACTACTTTTACTTTTTTTTCCCTTTAAAATAATTAGGTGTTTTTGGAGCAGGAAAGAGTTACTTGCTGGCAGTGGTGATTTTGTTCTTTGTACAACTGTTTGAAAAGAGTGAAGCTCCTACAGTTGGATATGCGAGACCATGGAAACTTCTGATTTCATCTTCCACTAATGTAGCTGTTGACAGAGTACTTCTTGGGTAGGTTTAACAAATGTATTTAAGGAGTTAATATTTATTAGGGTTATTGTTGTGAGAAGCAATCCACCATGGGTCCTGAGTGTCCATTCACATTCTTGGCTGAGTATACCAAAAATGAAAGACCTTTGTCTCTGAAACAGGAATCTCTTATCTTCTACCCACATTATGAAACAGTAGCAGGATAACTTATTAGTTTGTGAATTGTTGTTAGGTGCCATCAAGTTGGTACTGACTCATAGCAACCTATGCACAACAGAATGAAACACAGCGTGGTCCTGGGCCAACCTCACAATTGTTGCCACACTTGAACCCATTGATGCTGCCACTTTGCCAATCCATCTCGCTGGGGATCTTCCTCTTTTTCTCTGACCCTCAACCTTACCAAACATGATATCTTTCTCCAGCATCTGGTCCCTCCTGACAATATGTCCACAGTATGAAAGACGAAGTTTGGCCATCCTGGCCTCCAAGGAGCACGCTGGCTGCACTTCTTCCAACACAGATCTGTTTGTTCTTTTGGCAGCCCATGGTACTTTGAATATTCTGTGAGTAGGATAAAATAAAATATAAAACCTGAACATTTTAGCAGAAGTATAGGATTGCTGTTGTTTTTATTGTTGTTATGTGCCATTGAGTCTGTTCTGACATACAGGGACCCTATATAGTAGGGTTTCCAGATCTGTAAACCTTTGTGGGAGCAGAAAACCTCATTTTTTTCCCTTGGAGCAGCTGCTGGACTTGAACTATCGACCTTGTATTTCACAGTATAATGCTTACCCTACATGGCCACTGTACTTTCCACATACTAATAATGGCACAATTCAATATTGATTTTGAAAGATATTGTGAAATTAGTCTGTGTTATAAATTCTGCATTGCTTTTTACTATAGTCTGTTTATTGCAGAAGAACCATTTACAAAAAATATAGTAAGGCTATTGTACGTAGCAAGGCTATAACGAATTATGTTGTTATGTGCCATGGAGTCAGTTCTGACTCTGTACAGGGTTTTCCGATGCTGTAAATCTTTATGGGAGCAGAAAGCCTCATCTTTCTCCTGTGGAACAGCTGGTAGTTTCAAACTGCTGACCTTGCAGCCCACAGCCTGATTCGTAAACACTACGCTACCAGAGCTCCTTTATAGAAAAATAAAAATTAGGAAGAGAATGGTGGATTTCTTAAGTAATTCAATGGGACATTGCTGAGAAATTGGTATAAGGAACCATGTTGGAGAGAAACAAAAACAATATATATGTTTGTCTGTCTATATATATGTATGTATGCACACACACACACACACACACACACACATACACATATATATATGGAGTCCTGGTGTGGCACTGCAGGATAATGCGCTTGAGCCACAAGGTCAGCAGTTCAAGTCCACCAGCAGCTCCTTGGAAACCCTATAGAGGGTCACTATGAGTTGGAACCGACTCAGCAGCACTTAACAACAACAGTAATGGGATTGGGGAACCCTGGTGTGCTGTAGGATAAGCACAGGTCAGCTAACCATAATGTTGGTGGTTCAAACCCACCAGCAAATCCTTGGAAACCCTATATATAGGGTCCCTATGATTTGAAACTGACTTGACGGTACTTAACAACAATTGGGAGTGCCAAGAGTTGGAATGAACTCAGTTGCAACTGGTTAGTGCTGAGTATTACAGTTCATACACTTGGCTGTTAATCAAAATATTAGAAATCAAGTCTGCACAAAGAAACTACTGAAGAAAAACCTGGCAGTCTACTTCCCAAAAGTCAGTCATTGAAAACTTAGGAGCATTGTTCCACTCTGACACAATTATTATCTTTGGAGGCAATTTTATCTGTGGTAAATACTAACATAGCTATCTTATGAACACTTCACGGCCCCTCAATGTATTACAAATATATTTTTTAACTCTTTTAAACATGTACTAATCACTGGCTAAGGAGCTCTGGTAGCGTAGTGGTTACGAATCAGGCTGCGAACCTCACAGTCAGCAGTTTGAAACTACCAGCTGTTCCGCAGGAGAAAGATGAGGCTTTTTGCTGCCGTAAAGATTTACAGCCTCGGAAACCCTGTATAGGGTCGCTATGAGTCGGAACCGACCCCATGGCACATAACAACAATCACTGGCTAGAGAGTTGACACATACATGGTAACTTGGATGGAGGGGAAGACAATATACAATAAGAGGGAGGCTGGCAAAAGAATGATGGAGGCATGAGAAGATAACAGGGGTAAATATTGTTATATACTAATGTATGAAATAATGATATCCAGGTAACTGCATTGGTATACACAGGCTGAATGGGTATAGGAGGGACAGTGGGAGTATACCCACATACATAACAGTTTGATGGGATACTTGTATGTAGGTATTTACCTTTGCTGTAAATATATCTATGAATGTGGTGGAGAATACAGGATTAAAGTTATGAAAACTTCTTAGATATCACCAAATACCTTGGAATAAATTGCTGGGCCTGGGGGCTCAGGATCATAGTCTCAGGCGACACCATAGTCAATTGGTATAACGTAGTCCACAATACAGTGTTCTACATCTTACTTTGATGAGTAGCAACTGGGATCTTAAAAGCCCATGAGTAGCCATCTAAGATATAACTATTGGTTTCTCCCTTTCCGGAAGAAAGGATAATGATGAGAGTAAGGAGTGATGAAAATTGAAGACACTTGGAAACTGTTAGTCCAGTGGACTAATGAAACATGGGAACATCAGTTTCCATGACCCTGAGACCAGACCTAGATGGTGCCCAGTTCTCATGACCAACTACTCTGAAAGGAATCACATTAGAAGGTACTAGATAATGGGAGAAAATGAAACAGAACTGAAAATTAAAAAAAGGATAAGATTTACTGGTCAGATAGAGACTATTGAAATTTCCAAGACTATGGGGGTTGAAGAGCAAAGATGTCAGCTTAAAGACTAAGGTGCGCCTGACCCAAGCCATGGTATTTTCAGTAACCTCATATGCATGCGAAAGCTAGACAGTGAATAAAGAAGACCTTAGAAGAATTGATGCTTTTGAGTTATGGTGTTGGAGGAGAGTATTGAAAGTAGCATGGGCTGCCAAAAGAACCAATAGGTCCGTTCTGGGAGAAGTACAGCCGGAGTGCTCCTTGGAGGCCAGAATGGCCAAACTTTGTCTCTAATACTTTGGACATATTGTCAGGATTGGACATATTGTCAGGAGGGACCAGTCGCTGGAGAAGGATATAATGTTTGGTAAGGTGGAGGGTCAGAGAAAAAGAGGAAGACCCCCAGCTAGATGGATTGGCCAAGTGGTAACATTGATGGACTCAAGCAAGGCCCAGGATCGGGTAGTGTATCATTCTGCTGTGCATAAGGTTGCTATGAGTCGGTACCGACTTGGTGGCAACTAACAACAACAACATGGCCTTGGTCACCCTTCAGGGCTGAAACTGAACTCAGCTCCGTGGCTCAATTTTCAGCCAAGCAGTAGATAAATATATTTTTAACACACTAGTGAGGTACATAGAATATAGAATGGTCAAGCATTCGAGATCAAAAAAGACTAAAGGACAAAGTTCAGACAGCAAAGGAGGAGGAATTGAAACAAGAAACATGAGGAGGAAGTGGGATAAGTGATACTACATTGAGGGAATTGCAATCATTATATTCAATATGACTTACTGAATGTAAAACTGAGGATCTGCTCTATAAACCTTCACTCAAATCATAATAAAAAGTTTTAAAAAATCTATCTTTAAAGCATAAACAAAGATGTGGAATTAAGTAAAAAAATACTTTGGTATTTACTTTAGGAAGGAAGAATATGGAAGTATACATTTGGATTCTTTCTTTCGAAAGTACCCATGAAAATAAATAAAGAGTAGGAAAACATTCCAAATTTAATTTTGATGGATTTTTCTCTTGGGCTGATTCCCAGCATCATATAAATCACAATTTAATAAACTATTAACTCTTCAAAAAATATATAGAATTTATATCATACATAGGTGTATTATTTTTAAGTGCTGTTGATTTGGTTCCAACTCTGGCCCGCATAGTGTTTTTAAGGAGTGGCTGGTAGGTTTGAACCAACAACCCTGTCGTTAGCGCCACACCAGCACTCCATATACAAGTATGTTGTTGTTAAGTGCCGTCAAGTTGGTTCTGACTTAGCAACCCTGTCTAGGTTTCCAAGGCAGTAAATCTTTGTAGGAGCAGAAAGCCTCACCTTTCTCCTTCAAAGTGGCTTATGGGCTTGAACTGCTGACCTTGTGGTTCACAGTCTAGTACTTATCTTTCAGTCACCATGTTCCCATAAATAGGTATGTAAGTGTCTAGTTGACACTTAACACCAACATACCTAGAAATGTACCAAGAAAGATGAGGCTTTCTGCTCCTGTAAAGACTTACAGCCATGTAAACCCTATACGGGGTCGTTATGAGTTGGAACTGACTCCACAGCACATAACCAACCAATAATGGAAGAACACTATCTGAAAATCCTTCAGCTACATTGCATTTACTTTGAGTTTAGATATTTCATGTTAATTGTGTAGTTCTCTATATTCTATTGGAGTCCTGGTGTGGCATTGTAGGATAAGCACTTGATCACAAGGTCTGTTTGAACTGCAAGGTTGGCAGTTCAAACTTACTACCTGATCCTTGGGAACCTTATACAATGTCTCATTGAGTCAGAACTGATTCTGTAGCACTTAACAACAACAATGATATATTCTATTACCAAAATAAATTTTGTTAACCCAAATATTATGGGAAAGTTTGTTTTATATTCTATTTTCTAAATGATCAGAATTTAACTTTTTTTTTTTTTAAGGCTTCTCAGTCTTGGATTTGAAAAGTTTGTCAGAGTTGGGAGTGTTAGGAAGATTGCCAAGCCAATTTTACCTTACAGGTAAGAAAGCTAAATTTATTAAAGCCACAGAATGTTCAGAGAAGTATAATTTTATATATCTTACCTTAAATTTGGTTTCTGAAGAAGAGTTTCTTGGTTGATTTAGAAAAAAATCATCACTTTTTTGTATTGTTACAAAAATAGACTAAAGGCTGGTGTTCTTTATGTAACTTTCTTTTTAGCCTGTATGCTGGCTCAGAAAGTGAGAGTGAGCAACTAAAAGAACTACATGCACTAATGAAGGAAGACCTGACTCCTGTGGAAAGAATTTATGTGAGAAAAAGTATTGAGCAGCATAAACTGGGAACGAACAGAACTCTGCTAAAGCAGGTATTACTTCTTAAATGATATATCTACTTCAGATTTTCTTTATGCTTGTTGAAGGAAGACTGTCTCATTTAAGTAAAACAAACTACTGTGATAACTGATGCAGAACTTTTATAGCCTGGGATGGTGTGTGTCCGGTCTAGCCTCCCAATCTCTGGAAGAAAATATTTCTGAATTCTTGGGTATGGGAACACCCTGAATGGCTCAGCTTTCTATCATCCCTTACATCAAGTTCTGATAAAAGCAGCCTGGGCATCAGTTGGTAGGAGAGAAAGAAATCAAATCAACTTTCTTCTAACAAAGAGAGATTGGAGGAAACTTTGTTCTAGCAAAGAAGGATTTTTCTTCGAGAAATGGGATTGGAGGAAAAGGAAGTTGTTGGCTTCTTGGATAACTGGGCATTGGTCACTTTCTGAATAAGACTTGGGAAAACAAACCTACCTACCACCCTGTATTGATCAAATTGTGACCTTGTATTGATCAGCTATGACTCAAATAATGCTGCTTAACAAATAAAATCTCAATAGTTTAACCACAAACTCAAAGACTCTACAAGTACAACTGGATCGACTTGGCTTGAAGCTAAGGGTCAGATCTTTCAGTCTGAAAACAGCTGTCTATGACAAGATGGTCTTCTGGTAGATGGCAAACATGTAAGAGAACAGGCCAAATCACTAATACATTTTAAGCTTCTGTTCATATCATGTCTGCTCACATTCTATTTGGTATAACAGGTCACATGGCCAAGCCCAACATCAGTGTGTCAGAGAAATATATACTCCATCTACCTCTGTAGTGGGAAGCATTGCAAAGTCACATAGCAAAAGGTGTGGATGTGTAATACTCTTAAGAGATGGAGTAGGAAATTGGACATGATCCAGTGTATAACAGGCCTCCAAATTTGGGTTCCAGAAGGTCTTAGGGCTTCAGATTAGCTTTCTATTATTTCATTTATAGAGTTAGCTTTATACTTCCCTCTCCTCAATTAAATCCAGAGGTGTTTACTTTGGTAAATACTGGAACTAATTTGTTCCACAGGTACAAATTAGTCATTTATGTAAACTAGTTACCAATATGCTTACTTATGTGACATATTAATGACGTGTTAAAATAACTGTTGATTTCTTTTAAAAGTTTTCCAACAAATTTGCAAGGCCTAAAGTCAGAAGGCATTCATATCTAACACAGTAATTCTTAAAATGAAAGGTCTTGATAATAAAACTAACATTTAAAAAAGTCTTCTTAGTTAACTCTTTAATAATAAAATTTCTCTGGTAATTAGAATTGCAGCAATATAGAAATAAAATGAAAAATAACTTCTTAAATTATAAATCTATGAAGTTCTCAATCTAAGGTTGTGTTTATAAGACATCATTACCAGATATTAGATAATAAATGATATTTCAGAGTGGTACCAAGAGAAGTATGTATTGTTACAAGGGTATTCTCTCCTAGATCATTTTTTAAAGAACCCAGTGTATAAAAATTGTGAAAGTTCCAGCAGAAATATATCTCCTAGATTTTTGTTCTTGTTTTTAGCTAAAGAAGGAAAAGTTAAATATAGGGCTATTGTGTATGATGAATGCTATTTATTATGAAAGAAAGTAGGGTGTTTATTTTCTTATTTCACAGATACAGAATTTAACTTGGTAAAGTTTGTAAAGCAAACTTTGGTTAATCACATTTGCTGAGAACTGATAAAGTCAGTATGTATGAGCTATCCTTTTTACTAAGAAGCGTTATCTGACTGTTAGAAGAGAATTTGTGTATGTGTGAATCAAAAAGTACTGCTACAAAAATATCAAAATGTGAAGCTGTTGTTTATTGACATATATTCCATCTAGTTCTATGCATGGTTTTTTTTTTTAACTTTTTATTGTTAACTGATTGAAGGTTTTCAGAGTGGATCATAAGTTTTACATTCAGTGAATCATATACTTCATTTCATTTCAATGATTGTAATCCTCTCATGTGCTATCGCTTACCCACTTCTTCCTTTTGTTTCTTGTTGACGTTCATCCTTCTTTCCCAACCCTTCTGAATTTGTCTTTGGTTGAATGCTTTCCTTTTTTGTTAATCCTGAATGGTTGACCTTTCCATAATGCACATACCTCCCTAGGGTTGTCCCCCCATATTCTTACCTATTGCTTGACTGAACATTGTGCCATGGGTATGAGTTCATTTCTAGGCTCTTTCTGATCAGTAAGCCTGGTCTTTTTTTTTTTTTTATAATTTTTAGTTTTGTTCCACATTTTCTTCTACTGTATCTGGAACCCTCTAATGTGATCCCTTTAAGAGCAATTGGTAGTGGTAGCAGGGTACCATGTAGTTCTCTGGCCTCTGAGTCATGGAAATTGATGTTCACATGTTCCATGAGTCCTTTGGACTAATTGATCCCAAGAATCTTAGATTTTCATTACTATCTTCCACACACACAGAGACTAGTGGTTGCACTTTAGATAGCTGATCATCTTTTACATTCAACAACTCATACACCTTGTTTTTTCTCCCTAATTGCAAACCCCTTAAGGTAATATCCCTTATCCCACTTCTTCCCCAAATTTCTTATTCCCATTCTTCCCTCTTTCCCAACACTTCTGAACTTTGATCTTTGGTAAATGTTGCCCTTTTGATCTCAAATGGTTGAACTAAAGTGGGTGAGTTTTGTTCGGGACCTGAAGAGTGGCCAGTGGCCGTAGTCTCCAGGTTCTACCTATTTCTATCTGCCCAGTAAACCTGATCTTTTTTTTTTAAGATTTTGAGGTTTGTTTCACGTTTTTTCTTACTCTATACAGGACCTTCTAAGGTGATTCCTATCAGAACAGTTGGTAGTGATAGCCAAGTAATATCTATTTCTTCTGATCTCAGGTCATGGAAACTGTTCTTCTGATCTCAGGGTCATGGAAACTGATGTTCATGTGGTTCTTTAGTCCACTGGACTAATTGTTTTCAAGTGTCTTCACTTTTCATCACTTTTCTTTACTCTGGAAAGGGAGAGACCAATAGTTGCACCTTAGGTGACTGCTCGTGAATTTTTAAGACCCCAGTCATTATTCACTTAAATAGATTACAGGACATTGTCTTTGTGGTCTATGTTATGCCAATTGACCATGATTATATACTAAATATTCTTGTTTTTTTAAGCTTTTATTATGAATTGAGTGATAGTTTACATGGGAGAACATCTGTTTTGCACTCATCCTATCATATTTTGTTTCATTGCAATGATTACAATCCCTCCATTCATCATCATTCAACAGTATTTGCTTTTAGTCCCTCTGGTTTGTTTTTTGTTTGTTTGCTTGTTTTATGTACACAGAAACACTCAGGAATATATAATCATTTAAATAACTAAAGGGCACATTCTGCAAGCTAGCCTCTGGGCTGCCAGCACACAGCCTTTCTCTTTCCATGAGTCTAGAGTCCTCAGCTGCTCCTTTTCTCCATGTCATCATCTCTGCCTCCGTCTCTGGGGTCACTGCTTTTCTGGGTAGGGTCCCACATTCTTCTCATGTTCTCCCTTGGTGGTCCTGGGGTATTCTGTTCCTTCATCAAAAATGGTGTACTAAAATCTTCTATTATTGTTGTTGTTGTTAAGTGCCATTGAGTTGATTCTGACCCATAGCGACCCTGTATAGGATTTCCAAGGAGCAGCTGGTGAGCTTGAACCACCGACCTTGCAGTTCAAACAGCTTTGCAGTCTGATGCAGAGTCTATTATTGTAGAGCTGTCTAATATTTTTTCTTCAGTTCTGTTAGAGTTTGATATATTTAATTGGGAGCATAAATATGTATTATGGTATATCTTCTTGTTCAGTTGACCCTTTAATCATTATATACTGACGTTCTTTGTTTCTTAATGCTGCTTTTTGCCTTAAAATCTATTTTATCAAAAATTAATATTGCCACTCTTGCTCTTTTTTGATTACCATTAGTTTGATATTTTTTCCCCCATCTTTTGGTTTTTAGTCTATTTGTATCTTTGAGTGTAAGGTATATCTCTTGTAGATAATATATTGATAGATCCTGTTTTCTTACCCATTCTGCTACACTCTGTCTTTTGACTGGTGCGTTTAATCCATTGACATTCAAGGTAATTATCAGTCTGTGTGAACTGTTAGCTGTCATTTTACTGTTTTATTTTTTCATCTCTGTGTGATTCTGCTGGTTTCTTTATTCCATTATTTTTCTGTGCTGTATTCGTTTTAATGAAATTAAAACTTGTGGGGTTTAATGATATTTTCTTCATTGCAGCTATTTTAATAATAGATACATCTTTATGATTTTCCTCTTTTTTATTTTGATGAGGTTGATTAATTTTCTTTGATTTGACCCGGTAGTTCAATAATTTTTTCCTGGATTTAAAAAAATCTGTTTTGTCTTGAAATCTACTTCTTCACCACTTGGCAGTTCTGTGACTACACTGTTGCTTCTTTTTGCTTTATAGTTATCTTCATTATAAACTGATATCTCTGATACCCTCTTTTTAGCCTTGTAGGTTTGTTTTACTTTGGATATTTCTATATCTGGGTCGACTTCTGGGTAGTGTTGTCATATATGTTAATCTTGGATTGTTGTCTGCTGTTTCGTATTTTTTGTAAACTTCTGGTTTTTACAAATTTCTTTAATTTTTGTGTATCGACTTGCTACTGCAGCTCCTTCCTGGTGTGCTCCGATCTCTTGCCTGCTCATATGTTCCCCCAGCCACCAGTACCTTTCAGAATAGCCAACAAGGGACCTGCCTATGGCCCAAGCTGGGAGATTCAGCAGAAGATTTAGAAACAGTATGACCCAGACCTGGAACATATCCTGATCCAGTGGTTCACCACCCAGTGTTGCAGTGATGTGGGCTGGCCTCAGCCTGGTCAGGAGAATTTCCAGAACTGGCTCAAGGATGGCATGGTGTTCTGTGAGCTCACTAATGGACTGTACCCTGAGAGTCAGGCCCCGGTAAAGAAGATTCAGGCATCCACCATGATCTTCAAACAGATGGAGTAGATCTCT